TCTTATTTGACTGTAAAGTTAAAGTGACTTTCCCGACCCCGTACCTCAAGGGGACGAGATAGAGAGACGAGACGAGTTTCCCCCTCTGACACGTGTGGAGAACCCGAGAGAAAGAAGATTTTACCCCTGATACAACTATGGCTGAGGTAAAAGACTTCGTTTGCAGTTTGCGTGAATGGCCGGGGAGAAAAATTCATGCAAATTCTGTGCTTCAGTAACAGTATTTGCTTCTTCTTTTTTTTTGTGCAATGGAAATTAATACAAGAAATGCTGCCAATAAACATGTCCTTCTAGTACACAAAACAACCCTGGGACGTTTATCTTGAGAAATTGGGAAGACAAAAATCCCCTGGAACAGTTGTTGTGAAACAATAGACATGCTTCGCCAGGGTATCAAGTTTATTTTGATTATTTGAAGATGGAAACTGTTGATTTATGGAAGAGCAAAGTTCAATGTCATTGGCACAGTAATGACGTTTTAGAGGGGTGACTCGCTAGAGAGTACTAGTATTCGCCGTGACTCCAGACTTCTCATTTGGGTTCTGTCACCAAACTGTACGTTTTGACGACTCGTATGCACTTCTGGGACTTGTAATAATTTTCTGGAAACTGCATAGCAAATCACACATTTTCCCAATTAATTGTTCATAGTTGTATTGTTCATAATTATTTACAGTAATAACATATTTTTCCGATTGTGTGCATGACAGCTTTGCCCACACACAATAAGACAGGATGATATGTACGGATATGTGTGAGTATGTTTCATGGATTAATAGGTCACTCCTTTGCTTCAATTCCAACTATATCTCTGGAAATATCACTTGCTGTTTATCATCCATATTTTGATATCTCACAATGTGTCGATTGCCTATCTGGAAATTCTGACTACTATTTCGCAGAATTTGACCAGCCTTGCTTTTACCAGTCATTTAAGTCAACTCCCATATTTTCCTTCACAGTGAAGGTTAATGCAGATATATTGTAAATTACACAGAGGTAACATTACAATACATTTCCCTTCACATTCCCCTGTATTACATAACAATATTTGAGCTGAGGCAGTTATGGTTCTACAACCATCACCAGTTCTCTTGTTTATCTTTGCACTTACACAGACTGACATATTGGTGTCAATGAGCAAAGTCAATGAGCTGTGTCCAAATGAGATAGCATGGAGAAAACAATAGACGCACAAACCAGGGCAATGTATAATTTCCCGTGCCTGCCCGACCCGCACATAATACTAGTGAACTAACCGCAGCAGCTGATACTGACGTGAACGATGACGTAAATTCAACAAAATCCGTCGTAGTTTCATTTATTAACATTATATCAGCTACTTATTTGTCTTTACTACTTTAACTGCTCCATCCCCACACTAGAAACGACATTCCCAAGTAAGTGATTTGACTCATTCTCCCATTTGCTCTTTCCCCTGTTCAGCATACTAGTATACTTGGTAGAACATGATCTAATGCATATAATAGACTATTTTCCGTTCACTGCGAGATCCCGCGTTATGCGTGAAATCGAACGTAAAAACAGGACAAACAAAAGTCATAACGTCGTAGTGGCGTCAAACATCGCGTGGATATTTCCATGCTTAATGATGTGAAGTAAGGGTATCTAAACGCAATATTCCCCTGGCAGAGATCGGCCTTTCGACTTTGAGCTATGAAAAAAGAAATTCGATATCAAAATCAATCGTTCGATATTTGCGGCAGGTTCGGTCCGCGGCGTCTTTCACCTAATACGCGAGATCTCGCAGCAATTGAACGGAACATCGTCTATTGTAAACCCATTTCTAGGTTAAATGTCATAAATACTGGACAATTTAGCAACACATTGTTGCATGTATAAAAACCACCAAATCGTCTTAACCAAGCCCAACCCGTGACCTCTTGTAGCAACAATGTTATTGTTATACAGTTTGCGCTCGTTGTTCTCATCTCAGATCAGGTTGGATGTATGAGTTCTTATGTGCACTGTGAAATGTTCAGTCTCAGCTGGAAACCACGTTTTAATGTTTCGTAACATATACTACATACTAGTATGTTACAGGTGCGTCGGGGTGATACTGCGAAAGTGTAGAATGGTTTGCCAATATGAGCACACCTAAATAAGTCGCGTATGACATTTTTTATACTGAAATAGAAAATACAAATGTGTAAGCATTTTCACTGATGCGTCCACTGTGAGTATAACAGTGCGGTAGACGTGTTTCTTTTCCACGGGTTATTTGCGTAACGATAACTCCCCTCCCGTAGGGTCCCCGTGGGCGGGTCCTGGGACAAGGAACGAGTTTACGAATTAAGTAGGTTTCATATCCGAGCCTGGTACTATAAGATGTTTTTGGTCCATTCTAGAACACATAATATGCACATGTACTGTTCGTATAACAGAATAAATATATGGAAGTACAATAAACTTCAGTCTTCTATTTCCTACGATTTGAGATGTATTTTGCAAGATAACCGTAGTGTACAGTGAGATGATATTGTTCAAATGAATGCAAACACCGGCGTAGAGCGGTTACTGCAGACGATTTATTAAAATTATCTAGTTGCATTTATCACACAACAAAAACAAATCATAAAATCAAATTGAATCACGTAGTGTATCTTGTTAACACTGGGGATGCCTTTTTAACACTCCTCCTGAAATCAGCGCACTCTGATGTTAAACTGTTAGTTACAAGAAATATGCCAGAGACAGAAACCTATTAGTGAGTCAGGTTCGGCCAATGGCAATAGTGTTTTCTTCACAGTCCCTCAACACCGGACTGTGGATTCTGGAGTAAAACAAATAGGGGCGGTCAGTCTCAAATAGTATATGACATGTTGCTATACAAATCTTGCAATTGTCGTCTTGATGTGTATCTGTACGTTCTCATCATTCTCACAAAAGCATATTTTCAAATAAAATGATCACGACACATGAACAATGGCACAGTGTAAGCGCGCCATAGATTGTCGACAGTCCCTCTGGCCTAGTGTTTGTTTTTCAACTAAAATGATTTTAATTAATCAAATACCGCAATGCATTCGAGAAATGCCGGCCCTCGCTTGAATTGCCCTCGGCATTTGATTAAACCATAGTAGTTGAAAAAAAAACATTAGGTCAGAGGGGCTGTCGACAAATAACGTCACTGCGTCAATTTACTGTCAGAGACAAGTACAACGTATTATTTGTGACATATGCTATTAAATATACGGGTAAATATCCAATGTTATAATGGCACTATAGGCTTACATGCGGCGAAAAACGCTCCGATATTATTCCGAACATTCCGAATATTTTTAAGCAAACGAAAGCGAATTGAAAACAAACACAAGACAATAAAGTTAGCCAAACGTGAAAACTGCTAATACGGCACACATGGGAAGCCCTAGGCTGACTTTGCTGCCCCCAGAGTCAGGTGAGTCATTAAGACGTACACCGACGTCACCGGGGCAAAACATATTGACTCGCTGGAGGAAATCAGAATGTGACGTTATTATATTCGCCGGTATAACTTCACAAGTATTACGAACAATGTCAGCAAAACAGTTTACCATGTCATTGTATTCACTGAAAAAAAAGAATAAAACGCATTAAAAATAAAAGAAACACAAGTTGTTATCTTAGCGAAGGTACCTTTCATATGATAAAGCGCTCTATGACAATCAATATCGATCATTTCTACTGCTGTAACACTGGTTTAAATGAAGGCATGAATGACTTTTATATAAAATATTTATCATTGTTTTATGAATTTTAAAATGACGGTATCGCGATAACGGATGTATGGCAGTAACCGGCCAATGATTGAAGGAAACCCGCAAAGATTCATGGGTAAATGGACGTTATCAGAATTTGAACACGGTTGCTTTGCCTTTTAAACTTTGTTAGATATAAATACACTGTGAGTGATAATGGTGACATTAAATTCTTTTACCACAAGGTACTATCTCTCAAAACTCCATTACCATGCATCGTTTGCAACTCAACCATGTGTACAATATATACTTAGTAGTATATGTTTGTAAAAAAACAAAACAATAAAAACACCTATCGCGGCTAACAAAAACGATTCGCTGTTCAGTAAAGGAAAACGAAGTGCATATTATTCAAATAAAAAACTATCCGCACTCATTTTGGATTGTTTAGTAAAGCTCCACAGTAGATTGTATAGATTTCTAGTTTTATATGAACAACCAAGGTATTGTATACGCGTTGTATACGTCGAATTGGGTTCACATCAGCCGTGATGATTCAATTGACAGAACTCGCAAAGTATGTAAATGAGGTCATCAAATCTAGGACCTTTTAATTTTCAATAACGTAACTTACCCGCAAAGTTTTTCATCCAAGCGGTCGTTTCTGAACATATCCTGAAACTTTTGACGACACATTTGGGTGTTCTGCCCACTCATGTCACAACCATCGATCTCAAATAAAGGAGAGTCCATGTATGCAGTACTGTTGCCGTCTGAACAAAACATTGCCGATGTTTTCTCTACGCGATGGGTTAATATCTCTTGTAAAAACGTCTCCATTAATTCCTGAAGTCCACTACGACACTTTTCAGTCTTTTCTTCGATGCACGCTCTCAAATCTCTCACTTTCTCGCTGAAATATTTTGTATTAGAAATAAGTAATTCACATGTTTTCAAAAATACATTTCACGTGGGTTTGAGTGTCACGTGGTATTTTGTCAGAGTACGTCCTACGATCTGTTTTGTCGTTCGTAACCAGTCAATAGTCACCATCGCGTAAACCACGCCCTCTTTCGGCAACTGATGGTTGCCTCGAAGAAGAATATTTTTTTGAATGGGCGGAAAAAATACTCTGGCGGGCGTGAATGATAGTCTCTAAAGCCGTCCCTAAATCGTAGCCCCCCCCCCGTGTGGAGGGACTGCGCCCGAATATATATCTATCACTGTGACCCACTGCATGGCCGCGAAATGTTTGATTTGAAACACCGCTAAACATTTCTTGACTTATGCACGAGACAGTAACCGCGGATATCGTGACGTAGTCAGACATAATATCACGTGGCCTCGAAATGCGTTAATGGTATTTTCTCATGCAGACTGTCTTACCAAACTCTTGAAAACGAAAATACGTACAACACAACCTCTTCAAATAATACATAATAATAAACTTACTGGCAGTGATCAACACCCTGGTCGCCACGCAATTGTTCAATGAATTCTCTAAGACATGGATGTATCTTCCACATAATCCATTGTGGTATCCGTATTAGCGAAGACGGGCATGTCTCCACATCGTCCATCCACGTCGATTCTGCACTGTGATCGCCTCTATTACCACCTGTTTCATCACCACCACAGTATATATTGACATGTTGGCGAAGTGTGGCACGGTATATTATGTCAGACTCTTCGATATCAACGCAAACACGTTTAGTAGTTTCAGCAATGCACATGATGCGGTCATTGTATATGCTGAAAGTAACACCACAACATAACATGATGTATGCAGATATTAATTTCTATGTATATAGTCTATGAATGCCACATACATGTAGTAAATACAGAACTGTAATCTCAATAAATCAAAGTTTGTCATAGTCTCCACATATATCCGCTACTGAATGTTGTCGTTCATCTACAAAACTACAATGTTCAATCCCTCGTTTGGATGTGAAACAAATGTAAACATGGTTCTTCGGCAATGAACCATTTCGTTATACGTAAACCCCGGCTTATCGTACACATATTCAGATACCAACAATCGTAATAATGACTGACATAACATTCAACAGTTTGGAAATTTTCATGATGATTAGTAAAACAAAATAAATAAATCGAATTGTAATAATGCTTACTTGCATAGTTGCATATCAACAGGATTTTCCCCAGAGACACTGATGTATTCATCACAACACCCTTGGACTTCGTTGCCTAGGTCACAGAATCCCAAAGATGGTGGGTCCACTTGCTCCATCAATGGCTCGCCCACAGAGCAAAACATTGCCAAGTAATGGTCAACTTGTACATTAAACAGCTCTCGTACCATCACTCGTATCTCATCAGACATTTCGTTATTGTAACACGGACAGTCTGTCAGAGTCTGATCCACACAGGCTTGGAGATTGTCTGAAACCAATACTCTGCAATGAAGTAAAATGTGTATCTTATTACCTGACTTGTTAACACTAAAGTTTGAAAGCGTTCAATAAAAGCAAATAACATTGTTTTAGAAGATGTAATGTACAATAATTATAGTACATGTATTTATATAGTAATTTATTTTGTCGTGAAACAGTAACTTACTGACAATTGTCATCATTTTCTCTCAGGTCTGCTATCACCTCCATGAGACACATTTTACTCTTCCATCTTGCCCACATCGGTACGTCCGTCATCGACATAGGGCATGACGGGGGCCAGCTGGCAGAGGAAACACCACCAAGCTCCATGGGGCAATATATATTCATGTGTTGACGAAATTGAACTTGGTTTGCTATCGTATCCTCATCAATATCAGGACAACTTCTTCTAGCAACATCCGCAACACATACTATCATAACATTATAAGCTCTGAAATATATAAGAACCGGTAACTCTTTGTACAATGGCTTGTGTCGATGTTGGAGTCAACTTTTGCATCTAATAAGTGTATGATGCTTTATGAGACAGAACTTCTATAATGATAACCTAATTTATGGGAACTCGCTAAATTATATATGATTTTAAAATTTGTAATAGGAGGTTTCATATTCATTACAATATGAAATCTCGCATCTGGATATAGCCATAGTAATGTACACAGAGAAAATATTCAAACAATATGGCGACAATTTCTGAAAACAATATTCAACAGTGTTAAACTTACTGGCACAGTCTGCTATCAACGCTGTTTTCTCGGAATATCGCTAAAAATTCTTCCGAGCACACCTCAATCGACCGCGCTAGCTCACAATTCACAAGCTCCAAAATTGGCTGGTCCATCAGATTCATCAATGTATCCACTTCGGGGCAGAAAATTGTGGCGCGTCTGATTTGTTGATCAAACAACTCTTGTAATAGAACACGAATTTCCGAACTCATCTCACCGTTTAAACAGGGACATTCTGCAAGGGTTTCCTCGATGCACTCGCCTAATGTGGTAAGTTTGTCCCTGTAATTAATATATCGGTAATTGCATTATACTACCCAGCACAAGCAACTACAAGTAACAACCGTTAAATACTGAATACCATCTGATTTAATTTTATATTTGTTCGTATATTTATTAAATTCATTGAATGTACTGATGACATTGCATTCACCTTTATCGACTTTGTTTGTGTATGGTCAGTCTTTGAAACAAGTTATACCAACGCATCTATAGCTCACTGATTTTTCTCTATTTTCTTCTATCATCTACTGGCATTGTATTTATATTCGATATCACATTTATTTGTACACGATCTTTGTACATGAAAGTGTTGAGTACTTACGTGCAATCATCCATACTGATTCTTAGCTGTTCAATCAATGTTCTATGACACATATTAGTCTTCCACGTGGCCCACATGTGTGCTGCAACCTCTGTAGTTGGGCATTCCATCTCACCACCACTGACCAGGACTGAAAGTACAATTTATACAATATGATCTGAAGCAATCAGCAGGAACTAATACTGTACATTGGTAATACTGACCGACCGGACAGAACAGAGATAATGCCAAGTAAGACGTTTATAAGGAATGAATGACCCCCCCCCACCCCAAAATTGCTTCTCTTTTCCCCTTCTCTCTTCTTTTATTACTCCATTACAGTGCTGTTAATTTTCTTTTGTTATATATTTTTTACATGTAAGATTATTTTGGAGTAACGTAATTTTTATTAAATATTATTTAAATAAAAAAAATACGTTTTGACTATGTTCCACTAGTGATAAGGCAAATAATTAAAAACATTTTAAAAAGGGGATTCTTGCGTCAGTTTTTTGTGTTTTGAAATGCAATATGCAAATATGTAATCTTTAGTATTGTTGTTTGATACTGTATGCTTATGAATACATTAGATTTGTCATAAAAACACTGTTTTTGTAGCAAACTTCTGAGTTTTCTAATACGCATGCGCACTGGTTGTTTCGGCACGTGAAATACAAAATCATTACACACAAGTATTATTTATTGACACATGTCTTTTTTCACCTAATGAATACTGCTATTGTATTTCGCAAATGCATAATTTTTAGTTTATGATCAATCAGAATCCTAGGTCGTCTACAACAAAAAGCCATATGTTTTCCTCCATATTGCATCTTTAAATTGCTTTTTAAGTATATTTCACTTGTGGTAGGGCTGTCTTACTTCCAGACTGAAAAATTATAAACAAGCAGACACAAGTGCCCACGAACCACGAACCTGATAGCTTAAATAAAGATCACTGTATTATGTTACAGGAATAATGTATTACTTATTTATTACCACACGGTACGTTAACATTATGATTGTTCCAATATATTAACTTGGTTATGGATGTTGTCACGAATATTGAGTTGAATATGTCATGATTACTCACCAGCCAGAGTAGCTGCAATCAAGATTTCCTTGAGTAACATGTTTATGGTAAGTTTGCTGGCTGCAACGAACAGGCATGAGGGTGACACGGCAATCCAAGTGAAGTATGCTGTTAGTATGACAAGCGTTTTCACACAAAGACAGTTACTTCAGAATGTTAAACAGAACAGAAAGAAAGGTATTCATAAAGTGGTGGGAAATTTTAGTTTGTTTATGCCTTAGTGCACGTGTTTTTTACTTTTAAGATCACTTAAGCAGAGCTATATTTGGCATGTATGTTGCTAATCACTTTTATAATAGATCTCATCTTTGGGCAAATAAAACAACTTGGACAATTTGTTGTATTGTATCATGCATTAAAATAACTGAAAGAAACGTTACTAATAGAAGGCCAATTTGGAATTCCACCAGCTAAGCCCTATATTGCCCACGGTATCAATTAGGTAGCAATTACATACCAGTTCACACAGACGGCCTTGATGAAATTGACACCATTCAGTAGGGATGAGTATCACAATTTCACCGAAGGGTGTAATAAAATAATAAATACTAGAACAAGAAAAACAGTAACTCGAGCCCTGCTTTTGTTAAAGACGATCGAATTTTCCCACACAGTTGTAATTTTACAATTTGTATAAATATTTACCTAGCGATTTTGATGAGGAGTAAACATTGTTCCACTCAACAATAATGACTGCAGAAATGGTCTCTATATAGACTCATGTCAGATTGCACCCCAATTACACCCCTATTGTCGCTATTTTGACAAACGGGTGCAGAGTATATAGTTGCTGCTTCCTCCGCGTTTATAATATAAGCACATTTGTATAGAAGGGCGGTATTAGATGGCATTCATTAGATGGTTCTGCAATCGAATAATATCCATGGAGAAAATGAAGGTTTTAGTTAGGTCACGATAAATTAACGCCTATCTATCACTGTGCCATCCAGTTTACTAACTCGATTATTGATAACAACACTGTGCATGTTCATCTGTTGCTGAACTTCTGGCATGTAAATGGTTTACACACGCGCGATATACAGGATTATATAAAGCTTTTTATTTTTAAATTTTATAAAATCGATAAATTTACCGTTACGAGTACATGCACAGTATGTCTACAATAGTGACATGTGTGGGCAATTTTTATTTTTATTTTTCTAATACATTTGCTGTACGAAGTCTATAATAAGCATTATTGTTATTGTGGATGCGTGCATGTAGACTACAGCAAAAGTGTTCTGTACATAAATACTTGTATAACCGTGTGCTTTTGGCGGAACCATCGCATGTGTTTTTGTTTTCTGAAGTTTAGTTACTACCACGAACTTGTGTACATGTCGTGTACACGAGCAGTTTGTGAACCATTTATAGTCTGATGTTTTGGGTTGAAACATAGTAAATGCTTTCTGAAATGTTTCAAATCGTACAGATTTTCGAGAAAACTATTTAAATCACGTGTTCTTATATGATTTGAACCGACACCATTATCCTCCATGATTGTGGATCATCAAACTTCATTCTGCTACGAGATACCTCGCTACGTGCCTCTTCCTATTGTACTTGTAATGTTGGTAGCCATATAGGAGTACATACAATTACTAGTAATTAGTTTACAACCTGGTGCTTCGAAAGGTACTGATAAGTTGCTCAATAAAATATGCTACTCATCATAAATACTCTCCAAATAAGGTGATGTCATCACCATCCCATTACACATTAAGTTACGTTACCTTCGGTGATCGTCTAGTTAGGTCATTTTCATATACCACAATGTAGACTTCAATTCGAGCAACAGATGCAGTTTGATTGGAATTATAACTGTTCTATGATATTTTTCGTCAATATCTAAGCTTTCAGGTAATGTTTAGGTTGTTATTAGTGACTTTTAAGGGATGTGTTAATCACAGATCAATTTAGGCCATTTCCGACTATGACAAGTATTTGTATACACACACATATAATGAAGACGTTTAAAATTCCATACCAGCTAGAGATATTTCACACTGAACGTTACAACTGTGGATGATACGCACCTTATGTGATATGCTGTATGTCAGCTACTGAAATTTAAATAAATCTGATATTGTAAGGGTTCTTGTACACGAACACGGAAACACATTAAATATAGTCCAGACACAGTCAGCTG